GATTTTGTTATGGCTGAGTTCCCCCTAGAAAGTTGCCGTTTCTGATCCTTTAATATTGAATTTCTAAAATTATCAGTCCTAATTCATCCCTAGGAAATCACAGTGAAACCAGTCCCACTCAGTGTTGGTGGGATTGCAGTGGCTGAATGAAAAATGCCTCTGCTGGGTTCAGAGTGATAAGTAAATTGCAGTGTCTGCTGGAATCCATTCACTGCCTCATTGCAGTGACTTTCTACCTGCACCTCATGGTCTCTTAAACAGCTCTCTAGAATAGGAAGGGAAAGATACTTGTCAAATTAGAATCAAAGAGAATATCAAGGTGTGCAGAATTTAATTATATGAACAGTGCATGTTTTAGATCTCCACTTTGGCAAATGTAATTGTTTCAGGGTCTTGAAGATTCCAGGAATTCAGTTTTATGACTTGACAGGTTCTTGCCATGTGGCCAGAGAGGTAGCTTTCTTTGTTATTTAAGCTAGTTGATAGTCTTGTATACATTTTAAAATGTAAACTTTGTCTGCGTTATGAGAAATGTGAAAAACGATGAGCCAGCTAGGTGATTCTAAATATGGATGTCTGGTATTGTGTAGACCCGTAGTGTCAAACTCAAATAGAAATGGATCCCTGCCAGATGCATACAGACTTAGAAAATCACAAATTAACGTTTATCTGTGTGGTATTGTATTTTTATTTTGTTGATCATTTTTCATTTACATTTTAATCTGGTTTGTACAGCACTGGATGGCTTTGCAGTTTGATATCTCAGATGTAGACAAAAATTTCAATTTTTGATGAACGAAAACCTTAAAATGCCAAGGCATTTCTTCTTCAGAGAAGATAATCAGAAAATAGAAATTTACTGCCATCAGCCAGAAAACCAGACTTAGAACCCGGCCCTGGCAAAATTGGGTGGTTCATTCAGAGGGTTAGAGGTGGGTGTGATAGACTAAGTTGTTGGACCTCCATTTTGTATTTATGATTGCTTCAAGTTTTAATGAATGGTGTTTGGTCTTAATTTCTAGGAGCGTTTGGAATATTACTCCAGTGTCTCCTTTTAAATTCAGTGAGCTGCAAAGGCTAAAATAAGGCATTATAAAATCAGCATATGTGTGTATACATAAGTATGTATAAATACATGCATGCACATGTATACATATGTGTCCACACACATGTATGTATGTCTTCGACAGGAAAAGGACTGGACCTGTCATTTCATTGGTATAGAGAGCTTCCAGGTGAGGAAACTTCCTCTACCAATACAGGTTGGCACCTTATTTGTACCTTACAGTCTTAGCAAGGTGCCTGAAACATTGACTGGTCAAGTGACTTGCTCAGAGCCAGTATGTATTGGAGGTAGGACTTGAATCCAGGTCTTCCTGGCTTTAAGGCCAGCTTTCTACCCACTACACCATGCTGCCTCTCATGTATTATAATAGGAAGTTTAACTATGTAATTATTCATCATGCCTGACTAATTTTGGATCTAAAACTGAAGTATGCATTAAATAAATACTCATTTCTCAGATTCTAGTTTATTTTAAAATAAGGAAATTTTCTAGTTTGCATGCCTTGATATTGCATTGAGCTTCATGCTAGGAATGAGGCACACTTTCAGTGCTGAGACCAAAATAAAGGAATTCAGTAGACACATACTGGGGTCAGCCATTGGAGGTTACGCCGTGCCCAGAAATCTTTAAAGCATTAAAAGAGGACAATAGTATTTTGACAGTAAACTCCAAAGGAAAGGCTAGAGTTTTATTGGAGACAGCTTAATGACTGGAGAAACAAAGTTGTGTGAAGGGAAGAGACAGTGGAGAATTCAGCCGGCGTCTTCCTTAAAATGTGCAGTAATTGACAAGTTGCATCTTCCTGTCAGTATCTGGATGTTGAACATGATTTTATTCAACAAAAATAAATATTTTTTAAAAATGTGGGTGTATTGCTTTGTTGTATCCTGACATGTTTGGAAAGCCAAAAATCTTGGCCCCCTTCCCAAAAGGAAAAAAGTAACTAAACATTTACTAGAGAGAATATGTGAGAAGGCAGGAGGGCCCCTGAGCAGCCCCCTCTGGATTTCTTGTTTCTCTGGAAGTGTGTATATATGTATGTATGTATGTATGTATGTATGTATGTATATGTGTGTGTGTATGTGTGCGTGTATGTGTGTGGTTTGAAAGCTGCAGTAACAACGGTGAGTTACTCTTGTGTGTGACGTTCTGAGCAGGCTTTGGGGTTGAGGGAGGCCTGAGATACCAAGAATGACAAAGGTACGGTCTCAGGAATTCAGTTTTTGACTGGGATAAGAACTCAGTCCTTTCATTACATTACATTACATTAAGCCCTACTTGCTAGGTTCACATTGGGGTTACTTGGTGCATCCAAGGAGGGAAGATTGCTTCCTGCAGGGAATCATGGGGAGGGCTGTTGAGTTGGGTTTGATAGGATGAGGAGGAACCCAGGAGGCAATTTGGGGTTCAGAGAGGTAGCCCACTGAGAAGCCTGCTACTCCTTCCATAGCTGATGTAGCCCCTCGCTGGTTATTAAAGTGAGTTTGGGGGAACGGTAATTTGCTATTACAGAAGCATAGTTCGTGCGTCATTCAAAAATTCAATAAACCCCTACTATGTGCCCCGGCACTGCTAGGTAATGAGACTACAAAGACAGTGAAAACATTCCTGCCCTCAAAGAGCTTATATTCTACAGGGGAGACAACATGTATGTGCTCTCTATATACAAAACATGAAGTAAGTGCCAAGTATTTTGGGGGGGAGGAAAGACAGTAAGAAGGCATAGAGTCAGATGCAAGAGGTCTCGTGGGGGGAAGAATAAGGGGGACAGGGGAGTAACGTGTAAGACGACTAGAAAGACAGGAAAGGATCAAGTGATGAAGGCCTTTTAAAAGGTAGATGTTGCATTTGATCTGGGAGGCAATGGGGACACTGCTATTTATTGAATAGAGAATAACGGGCAGGCCTGGGACGAACGGAGATACCTGGTGTGTGGACTATCAGAGGGAGAGGATTGAGGCAGGGGGACCAACCAGTAGGCCATTGCAGTAGCCCGGATAGGAGGGGATGCGGGTTCTACCTTCTGCCATGGTGGTGGGAGCAGCAGAAGAGAAGGAAATGTTGAGAGGTGCTGCAAAGGCAGAATCGACAGGACTCGGCAACTGGATATTGAGGTGGGGGGAGGAGAGTCGAGCACGATGCCTAAGTTGGAAGCTTGGGTGAGTGGAAGGATGGTCGCCCTCTGAACAGATGTGAAATATGAGACTGGAGGTCAGGAGAGAGGTTAGGGCTGGATAGATAGATCTGAGAATGATCTGCATGTTGGTGATCGCTGAATCCAGGAGCTGATGAGGTCATCAAGCCTGTATAGAGGGAGAAGAGAAGAGGGCCTTGGATAGAGACACAGTTATCAGGCAGGACCAAACTGGAAGGAAAGGAACGTTAAAGGAAGACTGAGGAATGGTCAGAGAAGTAGGAGGAAAACCGGGAGAGAGCCAATGTCACTGAAACCTAGAATACCAAGGAAAAGAGGAGGAAGGTGATCAACAGTATCAAAGGATGACGACTGAAAAAAGGACATTGGATTTGGCAGTTTGAGAGAGAATCGTTCACTTTGGAGAATATATTAAAACCTTTGTCTCTTTCCAGGATGGCTTAGTTCAACATCGTCCTGATGCACTCACATTCCCAGATCTGGACATTTAATTCTCTTTGTAGTGTCGGGTAGAGGGTGGTTGTCAGGTATTGTAGAAAGAATGATGCGTTTGTAGCCAGAAGAGGCAGGTTTGAATTCTGATTCCCAGCTACCTGTGTGACCTTTTGGGTAAGTCGCTCCACCCCCCATCCCCCCTGGCATGTGTGTCCTTCTCTGTTAAACGAGAGGGTTGGACTCAGGACCTCCAGGGCCCCACCCTCAAATCTTACAGGACTGTGTGTATGCCAGGGAACATTATTAAGCACCTATTATGCGCCCTTTGTGGCTAGGCTCCTAGAGAAAGCCAGCTACAATAGGGATCTCCACTTTCTCTCCTCTCACTCTTAACCTCTGATCTGACTTCTGAGTTAGCAGTGATCTCTTCATTGCCAAATCCAGCAACCTTTTCTCAATCCCTGTTCTCCTCCACCTCTGTGCTGCTTCAGACACTGCTGATCACCTTCTGGATACTCTTTCCTCTAGTTTTCTGGGACACCGCTCTGGTGGTTGTCCTCCTCTCTAACTCAGTGTCCTTTGCTGGATCCGCATCCAGGACATGCCCTCTAACCGTAGGTGTCCCACAGGACTCAGTCCTGGCTCTTTTCCCCCCTCTAGACTATTTCACTTGGTGATCTCATGAACTCTGGAGATTTAATCATCATCTTTCTGCTAATGATTCTCATCACGTTTCCAACTACCTATTAGACATCCTAAACTTAACATGTTCATGAATGAACGAGTTGTCTTTTCCCCTAAACTCTCCCCTCTTCCTAACTTCCCTTATTACTGTCCCCCAGGCTTGCTGCCTAGGTGCTTTTACCATTATAACACCTCTCAGATTCGCCTCCTCTCCTCTGACTGTGCCATTCCTCTGGTGCAGGCCCTCATCCCTCACACCTGGATGCTGTAATAGCTGTTAGGGGGTGGGGTGGTCTGCCTGCCTCAAGTCTCCCCCCCCCATCCCGGATCCATCCTTCATTCAACCACTTAGATGATCTTCCTAGAGTGCAGGAAATCCTCCTACTCCATAAACTTCAGTGGCTCCTCACCTCCACGGATCAAATACAAAAATTTCTAGTGTTCAAAGGCCTTCATAACCCCCACCCCCACCTTTCCAATCTTAGACCTTTCTCCCCTCCATGTACCCTAGCCACGACACAGTCCTCCTGGCTGTTCCACTCTCTCCACTCCAGGCATTTGCACTGGCTGTCCCCCCATGCCTGGAGTGTTTTCTCTCCTCAGTTCTGCCTACTGACCTCCTTGGCTTCCCAGAAGGAAGTCCCAGCTAAAATCCCGCCTCCTACGGGAAGTCTTCCCCAGTCCCTCTTAATTCTGGTGCCCTCCCTCTGTTCACGATTTCCTAGTTTTCCTGTCTGTATAGCTGGGCTGTACATATTTTTTTCGTTTGTTGTCTCCTCCATCAGACTGTGAGCTCTTTGAGAGCAGGAACTGTTCTCGGCCCGTTCTTGCGTCCCAGCGCTTAGCACAATGCATGGCACATAGCAAACGCTGAACTACTTACTGCCTTCCTGACCGGGTACGGTGCCTTTAAGCACGGATGTAAGGAGATGCCAGAACATCACTGCAGCCTGGAGGAACATACGGGTAGTACAAGCTGTCCCTCATGGTCCGGAATGGCAAACCTGGACTCGGGCAACTTTTGAGAGGCCTCAAAACATGACCAGGCAATGACGCCTTCCTCAACAGCCCCTTCCGAGAGGAGGGACTGTTCCTTTAATGCTGAGGCATCGTGGATCTCCTTGCTCTCTGGACAGAGACCCGCTTGGAGAAGTAGGTCCGGCCGCCTCAGCGTCTGCCGGCGCGGTTGCCGGGGCGGAGGGGGCGGTTGCTAGGGACGCCGCGGCCACAGTCGGCGCTCTGGCCGAGAGTCCTTGGGAAGGTGTGGAGGTGAGCCTGGTGGCGACATGGACGACCTGCGGGTGGAATGGATGCGGGACCGGGTGTACCTCGCCTTTCAAATCACCGAACCGGAGTATTTCCTCGAGCTGATGAACCGGAACGACGGCGAGGCCGAGGAAGGGATTCTGCACTTCTTGAACCAGAGCACGGAGGAGGAGGGCGCCGCGGCGGTCTTCTTCTACCGCCTCTTGGTGCCCGAGGAGGTGGAGGTGGAGATAGGTGAGGGCCGGACCCTCGCCTGCCCCCTGCTCCCTGCCCCCCCCTTCCCGCAGCCCTCCCTCTGCACGGCCATCTTACGCGTGAAAGTCAATGGGCACTCCCAGGCACTGAGAGCCGAGGCTACAGGGAAACAAAACGAGCAGTCCCAGTTCCTCCCCTCAAGAACCTTATATTCTTGTAAGGAGATACAGCGTGTGTCCAGAAAAGAAAATACAAAGTGTCTGCCGAGTGATACAAAGTAATTTTAAGAAGAAGAGAGTTCTAAGCGTATCAGAAAAGGCTGCCTGGGCCTGGGCGTGCTTTGCAGGAAGCTGGGGATGTTAGGGGACTGGAGGACACTTAGAATAGGGAGTGTATGTGTGCAGGGGAGTGGTGTAAATGTAGGTAGGAGCCAGATCGCTGGGGGCTCTAAATGCCGCGCTGAGGACCTTGGATTTTATCCCAGAGGAAATTGGCCCTCAGCAGTGTGTGCCCTTGTGCTTTATGCCCTTCTGAGTATGAACCCTGTCTCTACGTTTAGGCCTCCCGGGCCCCTTTTCTATCTGTGTCTCGCGTGACCGTACACCGTCTGCTTACTAGTCCATACTGTACTTTGTGGGCCCCGGGTGTTTCCTCTATCACCTTTGTCTCTTGTGGCACCAATGGTGTCAGTCACTTAATCAACAAATATTCATTAAATGCTTATTGTGTGCCTCACACTGTGCTAGGTATAGGGTTTACAAAGGTAACAGTAAAAAAGTCTGTGTCTCTACAGGCAAAATAGATGCTATATGACTTGGGTGGAGGTGGGAGTGGGGAGAGCAGCCCCCCTGGGGAAGGTTGAAAGGCTTCACGTGGAAGGTGGTATTTGAGCTGGATCTTGACACAAACTAGGGATTCTAAAATAGATGAAAAGAGGGTGTGCTGAGATAGCTCATGCAAGTGTGGGAGATGGCTTGTCATGCGTGAAGATCAGCAACAGAGCCCTTGTAGAATGCAGGAAGGGGTGAAATGGGTAATAAGGCAGGAAAGGTAGATTGGGGCCAGGAGCTTGTGTTGTATCCTCGAGGTCCAACATTGTGTCATTCCTTTACTCATCAAAATAGATAGTATGTAGGGGCAGCTAGGTGGGGCAGTGGATAGAGCACTGGCCCTGGAGTCAGGAGGACCTGAGTTCAAATCCCACCTCAGACACTTGACACCAGCTGTGTGACCCTGGGCAAGTCACTTAACCCCATTGCCTAGCAAAAATAAAAAAAAGTGTACCTTTGCAAACCTAAAAGCATAAAAATCATTAAATGGTTGGCAGTTATTGTTATTATTATCCATGCTCTGTCATCTGGAGGAAGACACCCTCAGCACCCTGGATAGTAGGTTCCCTGTGCAGGATTTACATGTATAAAATCTACTTAGTGTGAGAAAGCACGGGTACTGTCTGTGCCACTTTGCTGCCCTGAATATATTATGCATATACTTATATAATGGGAGCAGCAAGGTGGCACAGTGGATGGACTGTGGATCCTGGAGTCAGGAAGACTCATCTCCCTGAGTTTAAAACTGGCCTCAGACACTTAACTATCTGTGTGACCCTGAGCAAGTCACTTAACCTTGTATGCCTGAGTTTCCTCATCTGTAGAAGGAGCTGAAGAAGGAAATGGCCAGATCACTCCAGTATCTTTGCCAAGAAAACCCCAAGCTGAACTCATGAAGAGTCAGACATGAGTAAACAACAACAAATAATATACTCAGAATGAATACAAGGGAGTTTGAGGAGGGAAGACACTAGCAACTGGGGGGTATCAGGAAAGGCCTCAGGTAGAAAGTAATGCTTGAGCTGAATCTTGAAGGAAACCACCGAAAGAGAGAGAGAGAGACAAAGAGAAGAAGAGAGAGATGGGGACAGGAAATATTATAACCATAATCCTATGACAGGAAGGCACAGCTTCTTAACCTGGGGTCTGTGAACAACTTTTTTTTTAAAATAAGGATTTTTATTTATCTTAGGCAATTGGCGTTAAGTGACTTGCCAGGGTCACACAGCTAGTATGCATCAAGTGTTTGGTCTGAGGCTGGATTTGAACTCAGGTCCTCCTGACTTCAGGGCTGGTGCTCTATCCACTGCGCTATCTAGCTGCGCGGAACAACTTGGTTTTAAAAAATTCTTGTAACTGTGTTTCAGTATGATTGGTTTCCTTTGTCATCCTACATATTCTATCTTATGTCCATTATTCTAAGAATAATCCCTGTCCCTTTCTCAAACTGCCCATGGCTCCTCCCCTATCCTGTGCTCTCAGCTGAGAACCTTTTCTCATATATCACTGAGAAAGCTGAGGCCATTCACCAAGAGCTCCCTTCTCTCTCAGCATTCACATCACTTGCATGCCTTCCACCCACTATTTCCTCCTTTGTTCCTGTCTCACATGAAGAGGGGATCATTCTTCTTCCCAGGGTAATCACCTCCACATGCTCAAGTGATTCCATCCCATCTTCTTCAGCAGGTAGCTCCCTCCATCATCCCCACTCTCACTAATCTTCAGTGTTCTCCTGCTTCCCTGCTGCCTACAAACATGCCCGAGTCTTCTCCATTCTTAAAAAAATCACTTAATGTTCCTTAACCACTCCACTAGTTATCATCCCATATCTCTCCTCTTCTTCTTGGATAAACTTCTTGAGAAAGCTGTCTTCCACTTCCTTTCTTCTCACTCTTTTCTTAACTTTCTGCAATCTGGCTGCTAACCTCATCATTCAATGGAAATTACTCTCTCCGCAGTTACCAAAGTTCTCTTAATCATCAAGTCTACTGGTTTCAATTCTCATTCTTCTTGACCTCTCCACAGCTTTCGAGACTGTCAGTCTCCTTCTCCCCGATACTCTTGAGACACCAGTCTCTCCTGGTTCGTTTCCTATCCTCAGTGTCCTTTGCTGGATCTTCTTCCAGATCATGGCTGCTAACTGGGAGTGGCCCCAGGCCTCTTTTCTCTTCTCCCTCAAGAGTTTTTCACTTGGTGATCTCATCAGCTCCTGTGGATTCATTTGTCATCTGTATGCAGATGATTCTCACATCTATTTAACCTCGTCCTAACCGGTCTCCCGACTTTATGCCTCCAACTGTCTATTTAGCGTCTCAAACTGGATGTCCTAGAGACATCTTAAATCAACATGTCCCAAACTGACCCCATTATCTTGCCTCCCAAACCTCTTTTCTCAACTTCTCTGTCGCTATCCAGGGTAACGCCATCCTCCTAGTCCCTCAGGCTTGACATCTAGGTGCCACACGCTATGCCTGTCTCTCACCCTCATATCCAATTTATTGCCAAGTCCTGTGCATTCCGCCTTCATAACATCTCTCCTCTGACACTGCCACCACTCTAGTACAGGTCCCTTATTACCTCATGTTTGGACTATTGCAGTAGCCTCCTGGTTGGTCTTCCTGTCTCAGATCTGTCCCCATTGTGTTCCATTTACCATCAACCAACGTTACTCTTCCCAAGGTGAAGGTCTAACCATCCCCCTCCCTGGCCTGATAAACTCTAGTGGCTCCCTGGTACTACCTCCAGCATCAAACATAAAATCCTTGATTTGGCTTTTAAAGCTCTTTAGAACCTAGTCCTTTCCACTCCTCTTTCCACTCGTCTTATACCTTACTCCCTTCCATGTACTCTGTGATCTAGTAACACTGGCCTCCTCACCTTTCCTTGCACAAAACACTCCACGTCTCCAGACTTCAAACACTTTTACATGCTGGAATGCTCACCCTTCTTACCTCTCCTTCCTGGCTTCCTTCAAGGCTCAGCTCAAATCCCACCCTCTGCAAGAAGTGTTTCCTGGTCCCCCTTAATTCTAGAACCTTCCCTTGGAGATTGTCGTTAATTTACACATTGCCCAACATAGGGCATGAACCCACAACCCTAGGATTAAGAGTCCCAAGAGTCAGTGGGCCGCTAGGTGGTACAGTGGACAGAGAGCCTGGCTTAAAGTCAGGAAACCTGAGTTCAAATCCAGCCTCAGACACTTACTAGCTATGTGACCCTAGGCAAGTCACTTAACCCTGTTTGCCTTTGCCTCAGTCGCTAATTTACCTGTCTAGATCTTGTTTGTACGTAGTTGTTTTTGTGTTGTCTCTCCCTGTGAGCAAGGCCTGTTGTGAAGTCTCTTTGCACCCTCAGTAGTTAGCACAGTTCCTCGTGCGCAGTGAGTGCTTCATAAATTCTTGCTGATTGATTATATGTCTGAGCAGTTGTCCCTAGGCCCCAGTAGACTGCCACAAAGGGGCCATAACATGAGAGGGGTAAGAAAAAACGCCTGCTCTAAGGAAAGGAACAGTTTTAGGCATTCCATGCCATGTGACATTGTTTTAAAATATCTCTTCTCTTTTCATTTGGACTACGAAGATATTCCAGAAAATTCATCATTGGAAGATGAAGAAGAGGAGGAAGAGTTAGGCAGCCAGACTTCCAGAATAACATCAGCGGACAGAAGTACAGGTGCAGTGCTCTAGGAATAAGTAAATAAATAGCAGCATCTGAATGTGCGGACCGTTCTCTGGGAATCCCTGTTCGGTTCTGATTTATAAACATTCTAAACCTAAGCATTTTTGTACCAAGTGACCTTGCCTTTCTCTTTTTTCCTAGTTAAATCACCCTGCCATGGAAATGCTGGATGTATTGAAAAAGGAATGTGATATAAGGGCATTCTAACACAGGAAAGGGGAAATTTTATCTAGAGGTTGGGATGTAGTGCTAGATTTGTAGTCCAGAAGACCTGAGTTCAAATCCTGCCCCAGACACTTACTAGTTACATGACCCTAGGTAAATTATTTAACCTCTCTGAGTCTCAGTCACCTCATCTGTAAAATGGGGATAATAGTAGCACCCATCTCCTAGGATGGTTGTGAAGATTAAATGAGATAACACACGTGAAGGGTTCTGCAAACCTTAGGAAAGGGGAGATAGAGAAATCCTAAAAGAGTAAACTCTACCTATTCTGGTCAGCATTTTCTCTATAATATAAAGCTTTTTTTTTTTAAAGATTCCATCTTTTTTTAATAGTATTTTCCCCCCAATTACATGTAAAGCCAATTTTTAGCATTCATTTTTACAGAATTTTACAGAATTACAGAATTTTACAGAATTTTATAGAATTACAGAGTTCCACATTTTTCTCCCTCTCTCCTTCCCCTCCCCTCTCCCTAAAGTGGTAGGCAATTTGATACAACATATAATCTTGGACAGTTGCCTTGGGTACTGAGACATCAGATCATTGTTAAGTCACCTGGAGGCGTCTTTTCTTCTAGAGAATTTCCTAGGAGGGGTTTTAATTCAGTAATGATAATGACACTTGCATTCATATGAGCTTTCTCCTGGAAGAGCACCCACTTGACCCCTTTCTGCCCAGCTGACTCTACCTCCATGCTACCATTAATAACTCATTGCAGAGGCCGTCTCCAGTCGTCCTGATCCATGTCTGGCCACTGGACCCAGATGGCTCTGGAGGAGAGAGTGAGGCTGGTGACTCTGCCCAGCCCTCCCACACTTACATCCCGTTCTCTTTCATGGCATGGCATCACCTCCCTGATGTCATGGTCCTCTTCTAGAATGAAGGACAAACAACAACAGTAACTCACTGATATGGGCAGTGCCAGATGTGGGATTCCATTGATCTAGGGAACTTCCAGGTGAGGAGACTCCCTCTTCCAATGCTTGTTGACAGCTTCTTAACTGCACGGAGTGGTAGGGATCTACCTGGGGCACTGGAGATTAGGTCACTTGGCCAGGATGGGTCAGAAGGCAGACTTGAACTCAGATCTTCCTGACTCAAGAGGCCAGTTCTCTATCAACTATACCACGCTGCCTCTCAGTTCTTATTTGTGCCTTTTCGAAAACACGAGAATCATTTCCCAGTGTAGAATCTGTCCTTGTAACAAAGAATGATTGGAGCAAAACTCAGCCAGTGAACATTATTAAGCTCCTACGGTGTGCAAAGCACTGTACTAGGCTCTGTGGGAGGTATGGAAGTTAGATAAAATGTGCGGACTGTCCTTAAGGGTATTTCAGTCTGTTAGGATGATATGACACATGGACAGATAACTGTAATTTTAAACAAAATGTGTTAGACTGTCACCAAAGTGTATTATGAGGAGAGGGGAGGAAAGGTTGTTATTGACTGAAGGAAATCAGGGAAGGCTTCCAGGAGGAGGGGATATTTGAATTGGGCTTTAGAGCATAAACAAGAGCTCCCCAGGTAGAGGGTAGGAGGGGAAAGCCTTCCATAAATATGGGGCAGGTTGAGTAGAAGAACAGAGGTGGGGAAACGCAGGGAAGGTGGGTTCTGGGGACAGAGAGCAGTTCAGTTTGGTTAGATTAAGGCATAGTGTCCAGGACAAGGGGAGTGATCCTTATGTCATCTTCTGCCCTGGTCAGAGCATGTCTGGAGCCCCCATTTTAGGCAGGGTATTGCCGAGCTGGAATGTGTTCAGATGCAGACAATCAGGCTGCTGAGGGGATTGGAGATCATATTACATGAAGATTAATTGAAGGAACCTGGGTTGTGCAATTCAAAGAATAGAAGATTTGGGGTTCAGGTACATGATAGGCTTTTCAAGGACTGCTTGCGTTTTTGAAGGAGGAATACAGAATCTGTTCATCTTCAGAACACAGCACTAAGTGGGAGGTTCAAAGAGCTGTCCCCAAGGTGGAATGGAAGAGCCATCAGTGGGGGTCTGACAGCCACTCATCACGGACGTTTTAGAAGGATCTGTCTTCTTCACATATAGGTTATATCAGATGGTGCCTGAGGTTCTGCCTCGCTCTGAAATTGGGTGACCTTTGCCCCGCAGGCACGAGAGAGCCGCTGAAGGATTTTGAGAAGAAAAGGGACATGGATAGATCTGTGCCACGGAATGAGACTAGTCTGGTAGCAGTAGGAAGGACGGGCTGGAAGAGGTACCGAGCAGGGGCAAAAAGGACTGTTCTGAGTCTATCCCAGTAATGTAGGTGGGTGGTGAAGAGGGCCTCAGTATGAGAAGCACTGCCAAAGTAGAATGAGTAGGACTTGGTAACCAGATGAACATGGGAGGTGAAGGAGAAGGGGCCTAGAAAGCAGGGCTTAGGTCTGTATCCTGCTATTTGTCTATGTTGCTCTGGGGCTGGAGAAAAGAAGACGCCGGAGTGTTAGAAGAGACATAGTACTTATACTCAAATACGTGACGGATTGTCGTGGGGAAGACAGCCATCTGTTTGGCCCCAAGAGAAGAGCCAGGTGGAAGTTGTAAAGAGTCACATTTGGTCTTGATATTGGGTAGACACCTTGACCAACAAGGGGAGAGATCCCAAGTGGCATAAGGTCTTCAGAAGGTCATAGATCTAGAGCTGGGAGAGACCTTCAAGGCCCTCAGGGCCAGAAGGGCAAACTGAGGCACAGAGAGATGTTATGGAAGGGATTCTTTTTTCGCTTTGGGTTGGTTTAGATGGAATGTTCCTTCCACCTTTCAGATTCTGTGAAGGTTCTGTGTTCACGTAGGCATGCAGTTAAGCAGTGAGACTTAGAGGGTTTCAAGGGGAACGGAGACATCATTCTCATTTTATAGAGGAGGAAATTCAGGCCCAGAGAGATGGAGTGATTTTTCTGAAGTCATGCAGGACCATGATCCGTACCCAGATCATGGGTTTCAACACACCACCTCTTGGGGAATGTGATCAGAGGATCCTTTATTGTACAGCATAGACTCTTCAAGCTAGAAGGAAGCCTATCGGTCATCTCCCGTTTGCTCATTCAACAGATGAGGACACTGAGGCCCAGAATGGGAAATGATGAGATGATGACTACTTTGGTCCCATATTGCAGAATTAGGAGCAAGGTAGGCAGAAGAGACAAGGAAGCAGATTTTGGCTCTGTGGAAGGAGGACTTCTCTAACAAGGAGAATCCTCCCAAAGTATAATGGGCTGCCTTGGAAGGTGTTAAGTCCTTACTGGAGCATCTCTGTGATCACCTGCCAGAGATAGAGGAGAAGGCATTCTTTATTAGGTAGGGGTTGACCAAATGACCTCCAGGACCCCTTCCAGTTTGGTGATTCTGTGAATAGTCATATATAACACCAGGGCTCCAGCCAGACAATTAATGGTAGTTCTGTTGATATGAAGCCAGGAGGAGGAGTAGATTCTTGGGGGAAATACTATATAGTAAAACTCATTTTTAGACATATTGAATTATTAATGCTGGTGGAGCATCTAGATGGGGATGTTTGATTGGCAATTGAAGCTGTATTCATGGATCCTGAGAGAGAGCTCAGGGTTGGAGAGCTAGATTTAGATGAAGGTTGGGGAATCATTCAGAGAAGAGAAGACTTGGGGTTTGGGTGCATGTAGTGTCTTCAGGGATGGCTTCAGTCATGAGCTTGCTTCGGTTCAGCAAGCATTTATCCCAGGCTCCCTAGGCATTGTGCTAGGCAGTGGAGATTTGAAGTAAAATTCCCTGTCCTTGAGAAGCTTGCATTCTACTGGAGCCAAAGCAGCACATACACAGGGAAGCCTGCAGCAGCTGGGGTGGGGTGGGGAGAGGCCATAGTATCACAGGGTCACAGATCCAGAGCCTGCATCTTCTCAGTCAGCTGAAGCCCAGAAAGACTGACGAGGATCATTCAAGTCAAAGTCCAATATATGTCGGGGGTAGGTTTTGAAGGAGTGAATTCCAAAGCCTCTTTCCACTTCAACCGGTCCAGGAGATTGAGGACTGCAACAGTCATTAAATTAGGTCATTAGAAGGATGCTGATGACCTTTGAGAGAGAATTTCCATAGATCCTGCCAGGTTACAAGCTGTTGAGAGGGTATGTTGAAGAAAGATGAAGTAGAGGCACCAGGTGTAGACATCTCTTCCCAAAAGTTTGGCAGCGAATGGTGGGAGAGATGGGAAAGTAGCCAGACAGGTTGGGGATGGTCAAGGGAAGAGTTTTTTTGTGGGGGGGATTGGAGAGTCCTTGGAATGTGTGCAGTCAGATGGGAAGGTAAAAACTAAAGCTCATTGAGTCTAAACTAAACTAAACTAAAAACTAAAGAGTCACTGAGGAAGCAGGAAAGGATGCAATCCATAATCATCACCTCATATTTAAAGTGCACAGAGGACATGATGTAGGTAGTGCAAGTAGGGCTAGCCTCATTTTACAACTGAGGAAACTGAGCTCAGAGAGGCCTAAGCAGTTTGTAAATAGCAGCATGTCAGGGGCAGAGGAAGGGAGGAATTAGCCATAGTCAGGAAGAGAGGATACAAGAGGAGAATCGAGAAAGGGTAGGTGATGGGGCTGAGCTGTTTCTCTAGAAATGGTGGTGGAGTGGTCAAATGGGTGTGGTGCATTTGGAGTTGTCCATGTCTGTTCTTTTGTCCAGTTCCTCCATACTGGGGGTGGCTAGTTGGGATTAGAATTGTCTTGGATGTAGCCCTACTGGGTTAGATTAGCTTTGCAGCTCTTGTTCCTTCATTTGTCTCATCCC